GGGGCCAAAAGGGGGCAATTTGGTTATATTGCTATAAATGACTTCTTCTGCAGAACTATGCCATGGATATTGATCATATTTGGTCGGAAGTATTCACGGGAGGCAGGGATTCAAAATTGTACAAATGGTGGGGCTGACCCTCGGGCTAAGGGGTGGGGCCAGTAAAATGCATTACTTGGAAATGGTTGAGATCCCCACCATATAACCATATACACAATTGCTGAGTATAAAGAGAAGAATGCACATTTGTTTCCAGGATGTCCCTAGGGTCTGGCCCCACCCTTGGAGACATAGTCCCTGGGCCATAAATTTTATAACGGTTGAGATACCCACCCCAAAACTATATATACAAATGCCTGGCATAAAGAGACGAATGCAATCATGATATCAGAATAGACCCCGGGGTCTGACCGAACCCCTAGGGACCTAGTTTCTTAGTCACAGCTTGGAAACAGTTGAGAGCCCCACCCTATAGCCGTATATATACAATTGCTGAGTATAAAGAGATGATTGCAAATATGCTTCCAGGTTGGCCTTTGGGACTGCCCCACCCTTGGAGACTTAACCCCTGGGTCATAACTTTGAAATGGTTAATATCCCCACCCCAAAACTATATATACAATTGTTGGGCATAAAGAGACGAATGCAGTCATGACATTAGAATTGATCCCAGGGTCTGCCCCACCCTTGCAGACATGGCCCCTGGGTCATAATTTTGAAATGGTTGAGATCCCCACCCCAAAACTATATATACAAATGCTTGGCAAAAAGAGACAAATGCAGTCACGATATAAGAATCGATCCTGGGGTCTGGCCACAACTCTAGGGACCTAGTTTCTGAGTCAAAGCTTGGAAACAGTTGAGATCACCACCCCATAACCATACATAAAATTGCTGGGCATGAAAAATCTAATACAGCTATGCTACAAGGATTGGCCTTGGGGTCTGGCATATTCCCTTGATCTCATTTGGAAAATAGTTTGCCATGATTGCTTAGGTATCCAGGTGAGCGATACAGGCCCTCTGGGCCTCTTGTATATGTATACGTCTTTATTCTTTGATACATCGCACATGGTACCTAATAGGTTTACATATTACATGATATGAGTTATATCCCTTTCCTCTCCTTCCCATTTCCATGATTAATGAGTAGAAATTAACGTTCACTTGAGTTAATGCTTGGTAATACAACTACAGACAATCTCTAGAAGTTAAGTGATAGGTCAACATTACCTGCTCTTCTGAAACTTTACATTGGTTATCCCTGCCTCTGCAAACTTAATACCCTGGCCATATCAAGCAAAGGCTTGAGATCCCTAAGCCATGACCATGTATTTACTAACTTTGCATGAAGAGACAAACACAATCATGCTACAAGGATTGGCCTAGGGGTGTGCCCTCCCAAGAAGACTCAATAGTCTGAGGGCTATAGTATGGAAACAGTTGAGATCTCAACCATTTAGTTGGGTATTTATGAAAACAATTCATGTAAACAATTCATAATATATCTCTATGTCACCAAAGGAGCTATTATTTAAAGATTGATAAATCATTGAATTGGTATCTTCAATTAGATTCATCAGTTTGAAAATATGTAATAACAAAGTTTATTTTACACCAAAAAAAATGTATGTATTATTAATGTATATAACTAGACAGGATTAATTTTCTGTACGTACATTTCTTTAAAATCCAGGAAATTGAAAAACATGTGATATGATTACTAATCAACATAAGTCTCAGCAAGCTGTGTTTCACTTCAGCAAAGGGACAATTCAACAGAAATATGCAAGATATCTGAATAATGTTTTAGAACTGATCGATGTCCTAGTTCGAGGTGAAGTAATGTTACAGAGATATTGAACCTCACACTACAGAAGTTGGCATGACTTTCCCAGTACATTGCCTGACTGGGTTACAGATGAGTGGAGAGAAGAGTGATTTATCTAATTCTACTTTACAGATATACGTATGAGGTGGCACCAGTTTTCACCCTCATGGAGAAGACTGTGTTGAAGAAAATGCTTGACCTAGCAGGCTTTCAGGATGGTGATGCCATCTTCTGTCCAGGTATGATATCCTTCATCAAAAGAAGTACAAGTGCTACCCTCTCCCCCTCTCCTTTTATCCCCTCTCCCCCTCTCCTTTTATCCCCTCTCCCCCTCTCCTTTTATCCCCTCTCCCCCTCTCCTTTTATCCCCTCTCCCCCTCTCCTTTTATCCCCTCTCCCCCTCTCCTTTTATCCCCTCTCCCCCTCTCCTTTTATCCCCTCTCCCCCTCTCCTTTTATCCCCTCTCCCCCTCTCCTTTTATCCCCTCTCCCCCTCTCCTTTTATCCCCTCTCCCCCTCTCCTTTTATCCCCTCTCCCCCTCTCCTTTTATCCCCTCTCCCCCTCTCCTTTTATCCCCTCTCCCCCTCTCCTTTTATCCCCTCTCCCCCTCTCCTTTTATCCCCTCTCCCCCTCTCCTTTTATCCCCTCTCCCCCTCTCCTTTTATCCCCTCTCCCCCTCTCCTTTTATCCCCTCTCCCCCTCTCCTTTTATCCCCTCTCCCCCTCTCCTTTTATCCCCTCTCCCCCTCTCCTTTTATCCCCTCTCCCCCTCTCCTTTTATCCCCTCTCCCCCTCTCCTTTTATCCCCTCTTCCCCTCTCCTTTTATCTCCTCTCCCCTCTCCTTTTATCTCCTTTCCCCCTCTCCTTTTATCCCCTCTCCCCTCTCCTTTTATCTCCTCTCCCCCTCTCCTTTTATCCCCTCATCCCCTCTCCTTTTATCTCCTCT